CCCGATTGTACCCCCCCCCCTGCCTACGGGCCTGTTTAGCATCATAACATCAAACAAATTGAATAGAAAAATGTTTGTCTTCGTTAAGGGAGGGGGGGAAAGGGCAAAGAAAAATGTTTGTCGTTAAAGTTTCTAGGGATGTGAAACTGTTTTGGAACCTGTGATTAAAATTAAAGTTAACCATATATTATAAAAGACTAGTGCTGAACTATAATATATACAAATTTGGTGCAACTTTAACTATATATTAGCGTGCAAATTAACCATTCTTAAACTTGATTTCAATATGTGGTACCACTGAAACGAAAATAAGGTTCAATTTAGTGCATTATTAAAAGTGTGGCCATTTTGTTAGATATTATGATTGCTGTTATGGAACATCAATAAATTTTCTGAGAATATACAAGTATGCCACTCAAACACTCGTTCTCGTGATTAAATTCGGCAACTTATTACAATTCTTGACATTAACGCCTAAACCCATGAACACCTTTCATTCAAAACTAAACTATTGACCGACAATCTAATAGAAATAACTGTGGCATGCAATATTAAGTTAATGACATCACCCGAAAACGTGACAGCATTTACTTAAATAAATTCAAGACATATGGAACAAAGGGTGTTCTGTGTCGTATAGAAAGACATCTTGTTCCATCGTACTTAACCTAGTGACCCCCATACATCAATCCTTCTTGCCATAAAAATAGACACGCGCTAGAAAGAGAAGAGAGCCGGCTTGCTCACTATATATACGTCTGTGATCTCATAAATCGCGTGCATCTCAAGAGATTTCAATTCTCTAGAACATCATTCGTTATTTCATGGTTACTCCATTATTAAATGTATTTATTTCAAACACAATTATAAAGACACGGGTGGCATTTACCACTTTTAAATACAGACTTGATTATGTAAAGTCTCAATCCTTGAGTGTCAAGATTAATGTTAACATAGTCAATAATAAATTATGATTTGTAATTTATTCCTTGTCATAAGCTGCATTTTGAGTATTTTCCTTCTAAAATTACGGTAAAATAACCGGCACCAGTCTGTCCATCCAATTAACCGTAAATCTAACGGTTAATTGAACCATAACTGTAAAGAACATTTTTTTACCTTTACGGTTTTAAAAACGTTCACAACTAGTATGGTAAAAAAACAATGAATACGAAATTAGACGGTTTTTTAACCATTTAAAATTAGCATGGTTTTAAAACTGTTTGAATAAATTTAATAAGCATTAGAAGCTAGTTTTTTTATTACGCAATGGTTGTGGTCGAGTTGTGTTTTATCACATGAACCGTGGAATGTGGTTTAATTCAATTATCTGGTTGTTTCACCTATCGTTAGAAATGGAAAAAACTAGACTTTTTGTGTTATTGTGCGGGATTGAGAATATCGTATTCTAATAGTCCAGAGTCACAAATTGAGTAGTGTATGTCACTAAAGTGTTAAAATGTGTTACATTGGAAATGTTTTCGTGTGTTAAAAGGAATGGGGAAAATATTGTGGTGTCAACGCTGGGAGTCGAACCCCCGTTCTGTTAATCATGAGAATAGGCTATAATATGTACCCAGCAGCTAGGAACTAAGAGGCTTAATTAGGTGGGCCAAGTTGGTACGAAAAATCTGTTAGTTAAGTCGTATTAATTGAAAGCAAATAATAAACGGTTTTTCTCACAGTTAACAGATAGAGAAGAGAACAAATGGGATCTCCATTTTAAAAAATCATTATGAATTTGTAAAATTGTAATAAATATTCAATTTTGTATAAAATCTTTAAACTTCTGTAGTATACAAATTATTGACAGGGTCAACATAGAAAAATGATTTTTAAACTTCTAAAAGCATGAAAAATCAATTAACAACAAAGGAAGTATAATTATTTCTCAAGTAACACCTGATAGAAGTATATAACAGAAAGTTACGTTCCAGGTGCGGAAAACTTTTAACCTTTTAGCATGGATAATACAATAATAATAATTAGAATACTGTGTTAATGAATGATTTTATATTATTCTTCATAATTTTGTTGATTAAAATTAATGATCAGTACTTATAAGCGATTTAATTTTTTGAGTTTTGACCAGTTTTTTTCGAACGAGTGCGTTGTAGTACGTAGGCTTGTCGTACGTAGGTAGTAGTACGTAGTCAACAGTACGTAGGCTTGTTCGACTCCAATAGTTACAAAAGAGTGACACGATTAAAAAACTGAAGATATTCATTGAAAATAAAATTTATTATGGTGAAAAGAATTAATAAATGTTGCCGTACGACGGGTTCATTTGTTGATAGATCCTAATCAAAATTAAATTTATTACACGCCAATGTGTATTATTAATTACTACTTTTTACACTATATAATATCTTTACGCTTTAATATTATATTTAAAAAAATCTTCCTTTACACTTGATTTGAATTATATACATATAAATTTAAAATAGTTTTTTATAGATCCGATGCAAAGCGTTTAAGAAACTTAACATTTTAAAGAAAATTATGTCATGATGATACATATGATGATACATGATGATGACCCGAAATCGTGTTGATGATGTATACTTTTAGTATCTTTGTTAAAAATTAAGTATAAAAGGTGTTCTCATTAGGGTTCACAAACATGAATTCGAGGAAATAAAGCCAAAAACGCTATCGAAATAATTCGAATCACTAGTAAGGAAAGTTGGGGGAAACCAGTTTTATTGCCTGGTGAAACTAGGAGGCGTTTCATATAATCGATTTTAAACTCCTCTCTGTTTCTTTGCCAAGTAGGTTTTGATTGCTTTAGATGCGCCTTACTCGGTAATGATTCATTTGATTTCGATAGTTTTTTCTTCTTGCTTTCAGCGCTACTACCATATACTTTTTTTACTTTCTTCGCAGGTTTTTAAAATACACATTAAATGCAGTAGCATTCTGTACATGTGTAGTTCGTTCACTTATGAGGTACAAAATCTAAAAAGACTTTCTTAATTTACAAAATTAGCAAAATAGTAGTTATGTAGAATGCGAAATCAACTGTCGTTAGCTACTTTTCTTGTGAATTAAAGGTTCAGCAATATACTATAACAATATACGACAAGCAACAATATACTATAAGGGTTATTTTAAATATTCTATGAAGAAATAATTTTTGAGAAACATTATTATTTTTATCAATTACCGGCATTTACTGACACTGAAACATTATTATTTTTATCATTTACTAGTATTAATAGAGTCCGATATTTTTCATATTCGCATTTTTGTATTAACTTGTTTGATTTAAAATAAATTATTAGATAAAACAGAAACTTACCGCTAAGCACTGACTTTCATGAAGAAGTAACGATGAAATCTTAATATTTTCTAAGCAAATATAACATGGTTTGAGAGGCTCTAGAATATCTTTCTTTTCCGCTTCAGATACGGCAGTAACCAAACAAGATTCACTGGGCACTTTACTAAGGTTCTCTTTACTTTTCGATAGCTTTTGTTTCATTTCAGAAATAGGTTTATCTTCCACATTATCGGCACTTGTTGATCTAGTCTTTGCCTCTTTACTTTTGACTTTGATCTTTTCCAAAGTTTCTGGACTTTTCTTTTGAGGTGATGTCATTTTGACATCCAAAGAAGGTGATCTTCTGTTCATAAGCCCCCTAGCATCCTTCTTTGCGTGGCTGTGAAGTCTCTCAGGTTGTTGGCTCCTATTGCAACTATTGCAAGGATTAGGTATTGCAGCTATCATCGCTGAAGCCCTTTCTTTATTAGCATGCTTCGTATTTTTATCCACATTGTATTTGTTGTACATTATGAAATTCTTTGGTTTGTGCAATGAATCCGATGAATCACTTGCCATTTTCAATCGTTTCGGATTATCTTCTTTGCCTTTATCGGAACAACTACTATCACCACTGCTATCATCCGAATCAACTTGTATCACAGGATGGTTTAAATTGGGCGTAGGTCGTCGAAGAACTTTGGTTTGTGGTCGTAAAGATCGTTTACTGGTTGAATTACTGGCAACAGAATGTTCTTCTGGTGTTACATTTTTCACGTTGTTGTTCTGATCGTTCTGTTCCTTGTTTACAACCAAATTCTCAGCTTTCGCACCATTCGATGTATCCGAAGATGTTTTGGCTTCATTTTTGGCATTCTTTCTACCCACACTTAACGTAGGTATGTGATTTGATATGTTTTTATTTTCTTTCCCCTTCTTTGGGGAAAAGTCAGCTTTTACAACACCCGTCATATGGCTTTTATTCCTTATCCGATTATTCGATAACAGTTTTCTCGCGGAACAGACGGATACGTGTTGATTCTTCTTGGCGAAAGGAACAGTAACTTGACAGTGGGAACAGATCCAAAAGCTGATTTGACTGTATTTCCAACCGGCAGGCCTTTCGGGTGTTGATGCGCGCTTCTCAGCTGGGAGATTTTTATTGGAAATTCGCCACTTTTCCAAACATTTTTGTTCGTGAAATGTAATAGATCGTGATCCAAACTCTTTTGAACAAATATAACAAGTGACAAATGATTTTGGACCCATTCAGAATTCAAAATAAAAATGATTCATCTTTCTTCCTTCGTGATTTTTTTTTTCTTAGCCTGGTGGATAAATGAATGAAATCGTTAAAATGAAGTTATATTTAAAACATTTATTAACTGCAGTGCGGTGTAGAAAAAATTTAAAATAATTCATAAAGTAATAATTTTAACCTCAAAATTAAATACAAAAATAAAAATTTTCAGAAATCTATGTTACAAAACATTTTTATATTACTTTTGTTAAAAAATAAAGGAATGAATAAAATATAAATAAATGTTCTCTCAATTGTGATCGTCAAAAATAGAATAATGATGATTAAGTTTTTTCTTGTTTTATGTAATTAACTTAAATTATTATTCAACTACATATAACAGTAATGAGATTAAATTGAAATTTGTTATGAACAGTGTGAGTTTCATTTACGAGGGTTGTAAATTAAATAGTGGCAACTTAACCTTTAAACTCACAGAAGGACGGGCATGCGCAAATTAGATATGGGAGCTGTGAGGTGGGGCTGTTGTCGATGTGTAGAGTGCAAAAAAAAGTCGATTTGCTTAGAAGGGTAGTTGTTGTGTGGCGTGAAAGTGAGGAGTTTCGTTTCCATCGCTCTAAAGCCTGTTTTCAAAAGGTGATCAGCGGTCGTGGCTTACAATCGAGGCTGCCCGTGGCAAAAATGCAACAGAATGCTATCGAGGATTAGTGGAAGCCTTTGGAGCAAATGCTTTACCATATAGGCCAGTAGCACGATGGATTCAAGCGTCTCGTCTTTTTTCGTCATTAAGCCTTTTCACAACATGCTTTAGAGCGATGGAAACGAAACTCCTCACTTTAACGCCACGCAACAACTACCCTTCTAAGCAAATCGACTGTTTTTTGCACTCTACACATCGACAACAGCGCCACCTCACCGCACCCATACCCTATTTACGCATGCGCGACCTTTTGTGAGTTTCAAGGTTAAGTTGCCACTATTTAATTTACAACCCTCGCAGAATTTTATCTGTTGTTCCAACAAAAATTTCATTTGGATCTTTAAAGAAGTTTTATTCGTAATTATGTCTAGGTTTCTTAATTATTCAAACCTAAAAGCAAATGCAAATCTGTACACACACAATTATAAATTTAAATGTTTGGAGACACAGTTGCTTTAAGCCCTTTAATCTAACTAACATTTAACTAATCTATATTAATATAACTCTTTATTATTATATAAGCTGCGAGAAAAATATAGAACAGCTTAACATAAACTGTTTACTTGCAATCTTTTATTTCTGTATTATCATTTATTTCGTGTATCATCATTTGATTCCCAACTCGCTAAACGGAATTAGGTTAGGCTTAAATTTGAAAGACACATTACAAGTTGTTTCCTTTTTTATACTTTAAAATCGGCTATTTCTCGAGGAAATGTTAAGTTCTTACGACAAACCATATTATTTACATCAGATTTAACAAGGTACCTACAAACGATGTCATGCGCATGTGTCGAATCTAATTGGCTTCTGAAACGACAAACGCCAGAATTTATCTACGTTGACATCACTTGTAAGTATCCAATTGTTCAATCGCTTAATATTTATGTTCTTTGATGCCAAAGCGAAAATGAAATATCATCGGTTTGGTGACAACATACATACGCTTTAATGCTTCATATTATAAAGATATCTTCTTATTATAACAATATCTTTGTAAATTTCGCACTTATACTGCATAGATTGCTTCTAAATCCCCCGCCCTAAATATATAAGTTTAGAAAACTTGTGAAAAAGAGAATTTTAAAAGTAACTTCAAAATTTGAACATTTGAATGCAAAACATAAAAACGCTTTCAAACTCTTACTTTATGAAGGCCGTGAAAAGAAAAGGAAGAATTAAAATCATAAAAAATTAGTTGATCAATTGAGACTGAAATTTGCCTTCCATTAGGCTAAAAAAAAAGCCTATAAAGCTGTTTTTCAGAGGCTCAATCATCATATGAAATAATTAAATAGGCTCAATCATCATATGAAAATAGCTTCTTAGCTATTTTTATAACTGATATAAGTTGGCAAGAGTTATTTTCAAAATTATTAGATTAAATTTATTCTTAACTTGACAGAGCCCAATATGCTAATGTCAATATGAAGAAGGAGCACGGTTTTGAAAAAAATAAGCGGCGTTTTCGGTATGTTTTCTAGTTATCAGAAAATTTTTTCACTAAATTGATAATTTTTTAGAAAAAAAATTGGGGATATTTTGTACACGCTACTTGGTTGCTCAAGACTCCTGACTAATTTTTCGGCAAAATAGTATGTTTAATTTTAAAAGTTATACGGTTTTAAGGTAGTGAATAGTGACTTTTTAATGCACTCTTTCATTATTTTTTGTTTGCGTCGTTTGCATTGTTTTGCGTCATATGTAATTTGAAGATTCAATATATTTTAAGCTCTCGTTCTTTTTTTATTGGTTTCTAAAAAAATTAAGTTTACAATTTTTTAAATCTATTTTAGTAAATTGAAAAGAAACAGAAAAAAGGAATGTATTTTTAATGAAGCAAAGGCTTCATGACAGTTTTTACAACCTACATTTTCAATCAAAATAGAACAAATAAGCTATAAAAGTACACAAACGTTAATATCAAGGGCAACTTAATAAAATAAGGAATGGTGCGGCGTATTAGAGTAAATATAGAGTAATAAATTTAAGAGAATACGATGTTTGAACAAAAGGATTCCAACAGTAAATAAATTTTTAATCGAATTTAAAATTCATCATTTTATAAAGCATAAAATGCGGTATTTGAATAAAATGATTTTAATAATAAATGGTTTCTTAATCAAAAAAGATTAAAAGGCAATATTTCATGAATCGCAATATGTGTTTCATGAAGCCTATATCATCTTTTGTTGGTTATTTTTGCATATTTTCATTAGTTTAAAGTTTTAAATTAATGCAAAAGAAAAATAATTAAAATATATAAATTATCTCTATAAAATAAACAAAATAACGCTAAAATATAATTAAAGTTTTCTGTGTTACAGTACATGCAGTACTTCAGTGTACGTGCAGAAAAAAAATCTTGTAAAAATAACGTACAGCACGGTAATTACATGTTGCGTAAAATGAGACATAAATAAGTTAATAAAACCAAAATATATAACATTTAAACCATTTTATGGGTTATTTATCCTTTCATGTAGTAACGGTTTACTAGAAATTCTGGCTTTCAAAATTTTAGTTATTATTTCCTCACAATTTAGTAAAGAATACAAAACTGAAGTAAATTTAACCGACAAAATGGCTTTTATACCATGCTCTAAGTTATTATGATAAAATTTCCAAATTTTACCACATTTACCAAATTTCATTGTTAATTTCAGCAAAATCATCACCAAAGCGATTCAATTAAAATTGCCAAGCTTTTTAGTGCTCTTATAGGTAAAGAAAGGATATTCTAGTAATTTTAATAGTAGATTTTATAGTTTTTTTTCCCTAATAGTTGGTCTAATAGTTTACGATATTTTAGTAGATCTGATAATGTTTTTTTTTTCTTAGTGTGCCAAATCACAGTACTGGCTAAATTATTATCGAGATTCGGTTTTTTCAAATAACTTAAAGATCTAATTGGATAACAAGAGTTAATCATAATAATTAAAAAATAAAGAAAGAAAAAGATGATTAGTTAATCATAATTATAATTAATAATAATATATAATTAATAATAATAACTTTGGAGCTTTATTTCTTAAAATAAAAAATAATAATAATTTTTAATAAAAATATTAAACTGAANATATATATATATATATACACTAACTATAACACTAAGTATAGCAAATTTACAGAACAGATTTAATATAGTTTTATACTAAATTCTGTCTAAGATCTGACGCGAAAAAAAAACCTAATAAATAAACAAAGAACTCAAATCAATTAAATAAGGTGCATGTGAAATTTTCGTTATTCATGATAATGCTTTTTAATACTTATTTTATTCCTAATAAATTTTAAACGTTTTATAAATCCAATAACTACCAATATGTAAGTAATAAATATAAATTTGAGTTTGTCAGCTGTTTCAAATCCAAAAGCAATTTCATTTTATAAATAAAAGTTTGAAAAAAATGTTTGTGAGGAAATTTTAAAAATATTTTCAAAGCTTTAATGAAAAGTTATTGCTAATTTAAAAGTTTATAAAAAATTTTTATTGCTAAACTAAAATAACGCTCAAATATATTTGTGTTTTAATAAATGCTGCATTCGTTTGTATTTAAACATATTGTAAATAAAATAAAATTGAAAATAAAATTGATTATTTAACAAAATTAAAATAATTACAGTTATGCCTAAGAATACAAATCTAATATTGAAAAAAAAAAAAGTTTAATTTTTATTTCATTAGAAGAGAAACAGTGCACCTGACATTGAAAAGAGAAATGGATTACCTGCAGAACATACGTGTATAGGAGGAAAAACGGAATTACGGCGCACTCTAACTGTGCCAGATAACTTCTGCCTTTTTACAACAGCTGATTAAAAAACTTACTCTCTCATTACTTTCACGCAGTGATACAACAGCTCCATCTATTTTTCAGTACCAGTACTACAAAACATTATTATACCTATGTTTTCAAATAATGGCGAAAATCAGATTGACTTACTAATATTTTATCATAACTTCGTCAATCCGAACCGTAACAATAATATTTGATAATATAAAAATTTCATTTGCTTCAAAAAAATGATGGTGGAGTTTTTATATGACCTAGTGCATCTATCAGGTCCATTTTCTTGTGATTATTCATTTAATAATAACAATATTAAGAAAACAATGAAACGCAAAAACTTTACTTCAAATGTTAAACGATAAAAAAATTTTACGAAAAAAAGTTTTAAAAAGTGTTAAACCAGGATTATCCGGGCATTTATTACTAGAAACCTTTACATTAACCGAAGTTAATTTCACTAGTAATTTTAATCATACTTACTAGAATAAAAATCAAGAAATTCATATTCCTCAAAAAAATTCATCCAGGTAAACGGATCATGTTTTAAAGTAGGAGTCTTCAATGCTAGTTCTAGCCCTCTGAAATATATCATACAGTTAAAAACGATAGGCCAAAGACAAAATTTAAAAAAAAAAGACTAAAAATACCTTTATTTCAAAACATTACTCGTAGTACTAAAGACGGAAATGCTATTAAAAAAAATATTTTAAAAAAAAATCTGAATAAACTGTTTGATGCTGCTTTATTAATACCGAAAGGAATAGTAAACAAATTAGTTTCGCATTGATTTACACAGCCTTATACTTATAAACAGCTTTCACAAAAATATGATTTTATACATGCATTATTGTTTGATAGCAAATTAGTCTAAATAAAACAAGGACGCGCGTTGTAGAACAAAATTGAAACCTGATACAAAACCGTATAAAAATAGTAACATGAGGCTTTTTTTTGCATTATCCACCAAGAAAATTTGCATACAAAGATTTCTTCACCCCGTTATAGATGTCGTTGCAAAAATGGTTGCCTTTGTCCAATCTAGGAATGACATTTAAATTTTTAAATGTATTGAAAAAATAATTCTCAGCAATTTTCACTAAAATTAATTGTTATTATTTTCTTCCTCCATTACAGCAAATCTTTATCATCATAAGCACACTTGTGGCCCCCACTATTTCCCGAATATTTTGCTGCGGCCTCGTTTTGCTGAGATACCTTTAGGTTTTTGTGATTTTCCTCTTCCTCAACGCATATTTGACTTAGCATCATGAAAAAAGAAGTCAACTGCTCTATCCATTTTTCAGAAGCTCTCTTTC